TGCATGAAGGTGGTGAAACAATTGAGTAATGCAAGTGCACTCTTATAGGATGTGTAGGAAATAGTGTTCTATGTCCATTATGAAAAATGTCATATACTCTTCCATTTTAAAGTCACCTCTCTTGAAAGCAATGATGGTGCCAACTGTTCCAAATTGTAGATGGTGTCAAAAATTATCTTCATTATATTTTTTTTATAGAGATGAATCTTAATTTAATCCTCCCTCCATGTATTAGGTGAATATTTCTTCAAGAAACTATTTATGGCTCTATAAACGTGTGGCTATATGGTTATATAAACTATCTTCTGCCATGGCATTGCCTTCTGCATCCTCCCGACAGAGCAGTGAAGTGTGAATACAAGAAGGCATCACCTTGTAAGGAAAGGCTGTTTCTAGTCTTTGTGGTGGCATTTCTTACTGTTTCCCCAGGATGGGGGAAATAGGAGTTACACTTGCTTTACTGTTTTGTTTGAGAGAGGAGTCCCCAGCAACTTCCAATTATTTCTTCTTTCTCTTATGAGTCCTTACTTCCCGTGAACTAGGGGGTTGCTCAGTGTATGTGTTCAAAACTTGAGAAATAACCACAGGGTGGATTTAGGTTTCCACTGGGCCTGTCACGCACAGTTCTACTTAATTCTTCTCATGGCTTCATAATTTCTTGTTGTGTTTATACATTACAATTGTTTGTCCTTTCCAAGATTGATACGCTTTTCAGTCTTTTTTTGCTGTTCTATTCATTTATTCCTTAAATGTTAAAGGTTCTGATGCTATTGTTGATCTGTTTTCTACTGGATTGTCTGACCTTTCCTCAATTACTTTTAGTTCTTCTTGTATTCTAGATATTGTTCTTTCATTCCTTTTATATATTATGTAGTCTTTACCTCTTAAGGATTTTTGTTATAGTAATTCATAGTCTCATCTGTTTATTTTTCTTAATATTTTCTAATCTGATATGTGAAAAGTTGATTACCAACGCAGTTGAATTTCTTATGTTTATTGAACTTTTGTCAAATGCAATATTTTATCCTTTGCCTATTTTTTATTGTGCTATTTATTACCAGTTTGTATTTTTTTCTGTGTTAGGAATATTAACTCTGTTGCCCACCATATGCTATAGATATTTTCTTTCAGGTACTCACACATGTACACATATGCACATATTTTCCATATAACAGTTGTTTTTTTTTTTAATTGTGATGAAAATAAACACGACGATACATTCACCAACATAACTTCCCCATTTATAGCTTTATGGCTCAGGGACATTGATGATATTTTTCATGTTGTGCCACCATTATTACTATCCCTCTCCAAAACATTCCACCACCATTAGCATAAACCCCGTGCCCTGCAAACAAAAGCTTCCCCCCTTCCCCTCCCCCCCCCCCCTAGTAACCACTAATAATCTCTGGTTTCTTTTTTTTTTTTCCCACCCTACCTAGGAATTTAGCCTCCCCTCTCCTATCCCTGGAAACCAACAAAGTTCCTTCCATGTATAAATTTATCCTAGACTTTTTATGTTGTTGTTGTTGTTATATGCCATCGAGTCGGCCCCGACTCATAGCAACCCCTCCGTGGGTTTCTGAGGCAGTATCACTATGGAAGTAGTATTGCCCAACCTTCCTTCCGAGGAGTGGCTCGTGGGTTTGAACCGCCAGCCTTCTGGTTAGCAGTCAAGTGCCTTAGGCACTATGCTACCAGAGACTTTTTATAGTAGTAGACTAATACAGTATTTGTCCTTCTGTGATTGACTTATTTCACTCAACGTAACACCCTCCAAGTTCATTCACGTTATGTGGTATTTTGCAGATTCTACAGTATTCTGTAGGGTTGCGTAGTATTCCATAGTGCATATGTACCACAGTTTATTATCCATTCCTCAGTTAAAATTTTTTTTTGTAGTCCAATTTGTCAGTATTTTCCTCAATTTTTAGGGTTTTTTTTTTTAAAATCATATTTAGATAGTCTTTTATTCCTGATTCCAAGATCTTACAAACATCATACCACTTACACTCACTCACTGCCATTGAGTAGATTCCAGTTATAGCCACCCCCATTGGGTTTCTGAGGTGGTAAATCTTTACCGAAGTAGACTACCTTGTCTTCCTTCCACAGAGTGGCTGGTGGATTTGAACCACCATCCTTCTGGTTAGCAGTCAGGTGCCTTAGGCACTATGCCACCAGAGCTCCTTAAATAGCATATAATAACTATATATTTACATTTTGTTGTAACAATTCACTATTTTAAATGTTTAAGTATTTAAAGTAATAATTTGTTGTGAATTTGTTTTGTAATGTTATGTATGGTAAGGTTCTATTTTTTTTCACCAAATGATTAGTCCATTTTCCTATTGTCATTTATTGAATAATTATTTTTTTCTTACTTCATTGGACTTTTTAAAAGCAAAATATGAGATAAATACCTGTCTATCCTACAGAATTCCACACTACCATTTGTCTTATCAACAGGTTGTTGTTAAAAATATATATAAAAATTGTAACCCCTTATAAATCAATTTCAAGAAAATCTGTTGAGGTTATAAATAAAATATTTAAGTACTTACAGTTAGCTATAAGTTAAGGATAACAAGCAAAAATTCTCCACCCTACAAAAGGAAAACCTTACCATATACACAAAAAAAGCAAAAAGAAATTCCTTGAAACTTGCTAAATGGTAACAGTTACTATATGTTGTATGATTCCTCACTAGTATTTATATTTTCAGCTTTGACTTGAAAGCAGCTCTCATTACAGCATCCTCAATGAGCAAAAATAATCCTGAGGTTTAGAATACTATCGTTTCTTTGATCTCATAAATAAATGACTATTTGAAAGCACTAAAGCTATACAAATAGGCCATTCATTTTAAGTAAAAGAATGAGTGGGTTGGATAATTTTTCTCTAATTCTTGCAATTCTGACATTGTCTGCTATGAGGTGGATTTTCAGACTCTTAGACTGTGACATTTGATTTATGTACGCCCATATGTAAAACCAAGGCTGGTGGTTCAAACCCACCAGCCACTCCTCAAAAGGAAGGTTGGGCAAGCCACTTCTGTAGTGATACTGCCTCAGAAACCCAAGCAGGGGTCGCTATGGGTCGGGGCCGACTCCACAGCACATAACACCAACAACTACAACGTATGTTGGCCTTCTTCCTTGTTGAAGAGGCTGTCTTCACTGCAGTGGTCATAGACTTCTGGATTGTGAGTTTAGCATGAGATTTTTAACCCCTAATTTTTAATATTAAATATGTTAAACCTACAGAAAAGTAAAAGTATAGTATAATGAGTATTTTGTATACCCATCACCTCAGTTCACTGATAGTATTTGAAATTTTACAACTTTAATAGTTCTCTCTTCTCAGTCACATTTCTCCAAGTGACTTCATAATTTTTTTTTTTTTTTTTTTTTTAATAGCTTCTTCCTTTTTTCTGGTTCAGAATCCAGATAAAGATAATACGATGTTTTGTGGGCACTTTAGTTCTTTAGTGTTCTTTAATTTAGAAGCACTTTGTTGCCTTCTTTTACTTCTTTTCGTTTGTTTGTTTTCCTTTTATGACATTGATATATTTGAGAAGTCCAGACCACAGTCTAGATTGGTCTGATTGTTCGTCATGACTAGATTCAGATCAAACATTTTTACAAGGAAATACAAAGGTCATCTTGTCTTTCCTCATTGCGTCATGCCAGGAGGTTCATAATGCCAGTTTGCCCCTTGTTGGTGCTAAGCCTGATCATTTATATTTAAGCAACAGATTTATCTATTTCTTTTGTAATTAAAATAAATACAGAAGACTCGGAATCAACTTGGAACACCTCAGTTACCTATATGGTAGCAATTTGAGGTCGTGTGAAGACTCTGAGGCTCCTTGTCTGAATTAATTTTTACATACCAGACCAAAACCTAACTCACTGCCATCAAAATAATTCCAACTCTTAGTGATCCCCATTGGGTTTCTGAGGCTGTAAATCTGTACAGAAGTAGATTGCCCGTCTTCCTTCCACAGAGCTGCTGGTGGTTTGAACCACTGACCTTCTGATTAGCAGCCACATGGGTTATGCACTACACCAGGAGAGCTGCTTAATTATTGCATTAAAAAAAAAAAAAAAAACTTACTGCTGTGGAGTCGTATCTGACTCATAGTGACCCCTTCTTGGGTTTCCAAGGCGGATTGGCTGGTGGGTTTGAACCGCCAGACTTCTGGTTAGCAGTCAGATGCCTTAGGCACTACGCCACCAGAGCTCCTAATTACTACATAAACTCACTATGCTTGAGTCGGATCTGACTCATAGTGACCCCTCCTTGGGTTTCCGAGGCAGTATCACTAGGGAAGTAGATTGCCCAACCTTCCTTCTGAGGAGTGGCTGGTGGGTTTGAATTATCAGCTCTCTGGTTAGCAGTCAAGCACCTTAGGCACTACGCCACCAGAGCTCCCTAATTATTACATAGGTAATTAAAAATTATTTTTTTCTAATTCTGTTATTCCCTTCATGTTTATTAGCTAGTCATTCACTCATTTTATATTCTAATGTATTACATAATTATTGCAGTTACATTCCTTACAAATTTTATGCCAATAGCAAACCAAAACAAATCCACTGCCACTGAGTCAATTCCTACTCATGGTAACCCAATAGGATGGAGTAGAATTGTCCCCTAGGGTTTCCAAGGCTGTAAGTCTTGACAGAAGCAGACTGCCTCATCTTACGTGAAACTCTGTGTGCCAACGTTGATGGCAGAGTAAGAAGATATTTTTGACTCATTAGTACAGTGCAGTTCCGTACGGTAACATCCCCACATCATTTCCTCTTGAAAATTAGTCTGTTATTGTTGCCAATTAGTTTTAAATAGTTTCTCTTTTTTTAATATATTTTCATATTTAATCTCTGTTTTTATACCTTTTTTTAACTACCTGACTGTCTGGTTTAATTTCAGATCTATTATTTTGTTACCCTGATATTTGTAAATAATCACACATTAATTTTCCATTATCATAGCTGTGGAAATACAACGGACTCTGAATCAACTTGGAACACCTCAAGATTCACCTGAACTAAGGCAACAGCTGTAAGTATTTAATTTAAAAAAATGTTGGCTTGTATTGCTTTGACAGTGTGCAGTATTATGTTTATGGGAGAAGACAACGGAAAATTGAAAAGGTTTTTGTGCTGCTTTATCCAACTCCATGGCTGGGTGTCGTGTTGTTGTTTGTAGATGGACCCTGAGGCAAAGTCTAAGGCAACAAATTCTCTCCACTTGTTCACCTAGTGACTCCCAGGAGCAGGATGCAGATAAAAGACTCCCGAGCCCTGAGATTCCACACATGAAAGACCAGACAACCCACAGTCTTGTGGTTAAATTTGCTTCTAACTTGAGTCATCCATATTGTTGCATGACTGCTAATACTTCTCTAAACTTGGTTACCTTGTGTGAATAAAGACACCCCACCCCATGTCATATAGTTCAGAAGTGTTTATGAAAGAAGCTGAAAATTTTATTTTCATATACAAACTTTAGAGTCTGTCTCTGAAAAAGCAGTTTTTATAAAATTATTCCTTAGGGTAGATTTCAAGCGGCAGAGTTGTAGCTTAATGAAATACTTAGTTCTTTGACTGTAATGCGTGTTTTCTCACTTCAGGCAACAGAAGCAGCAGTACACTAACCAGCTTGCCAAAGAAACAGATAAGTACATTAAAGAGTTCGGATCTTTGCCCACCACCCCCAGTGAACAGGTAACAAGCTTTAAGACACCTTCTTGATGTATTGAACGTGAAAGAAATCAAATGTATTGTAGGATCTTTGAACTGTAAGCAAGGAAATTAGGAGGAAAAAAAAATTCTGAGATTAGTTCACAGAACATAAAACTTTGTTTAACTGCTCAGGTGGTACCCTGTGGCTCATAAAGCAAAAACCATTCCCATGGATTTGCCCTGACCCATAACTAAGTGCTTGAAGGTACTTCCTGAGTAATTGTTCCCCAGCCTCCCAGGACTGACCAGGTGCCCCATGCACGCTCACTCAAGGTGTGAGGTGTCCTAGGTACACACATTTACTTCCTGGCTTCCTTACAGGGCTGAAAATTATTATTCAGGTGAGAATATAAGGTGTTTTTTTGTTTGTATGTTTTTTGCCTGAAGAAGAATTATTTTTAAATAACATCGAAATCATGACCTGGCTTTTTAGAGCACATAAGTGAGAAGTCTGGCACCTTTGGGCTCTTTGCCTCAAGGTAAAGTATGCACAGTATTTGACCATGTTGTCAGAATGTTATTGAGAGTTCATCAGTAAAGCCCTGAAGTGGGGGAGTGAGTACCTTTTCAATATCATAGAAAGAGCTGTTGTTGTAGTTGTCTTTGAGTTCATTTCTACTCATGGTGACCCCTCGCTAGTGGTGATCTGTAACTTCTGTGAATCCCATAGAACTTCACAGCTTGATTCTAGTAGTTTTTGTTTGTTTGTTTGTTTTGTTTGTTTCTTCTTCCTTTTCTCTAGCGTCAAAGGAAAATCCAGAAGGATCGCTTAGTGGCTGAATTCACAACATCACTGACAAATTTTCAAAAGGTTCAGAGGCAAGCAGCTGAGAGAGAGAAAGACTTTGTTGCTCGAGTTAGAGCCAGCTCCAGAGTATCTGTAAGTATTTAAAAATACATTGTAAACATAACGTTGAACCATTTGCACATATACTGTGTTGTTAATGATGGCAAACATTGATCTATGAATGGATGATGGATGGATGGGTGGACAGGCTGAACAATTAGGTATGTCTATGCAAGAGGCAATGTGCCCATGACCATGTATAGGGTTGGCAGACAGTGTTTCTATAGGTGTGTTTGTATGTTGCATAAGAATTTCTAGGTATATAGTAGAGCTGACAAAGGACAAGGTTATAGTCACTTCTTGGCAACAGCCAGCTTCCCAGAGGGAGCAAGTAGTTAGACCTGTGGGCTAGGGACCATGGTTGCAAAGGACATCAAGCTCAATTGGCATAACATACTACCCAAAAACACTGTTCCACATCCTACTTTGGTGAGTAGCGATGGGGATCTTAAAAGCTTGCCAGCAGCCATCTAGATGCAACAATGGATCTCCCCTCATCCAGAGCAAAGAAGAATGAAGAAAGCCAAAGGCACATGGAAACAATTAATCCAAGGGACTGGTACACTATGTGATCCTCAGCCAATACGACTATGAGATCAGAACTAGATGGTGCCCGGCTACCACTGTCAACCACTTAGAGGAGGGGATGTATGTAGGAGATCCTGGATAGATTGGGAGAACAATGTAGAACAAAACTCAAAATCATTTTTTAAAAAAAGCGGCCAGGTTTGCTGCTCTAATAGAGCCTGGTGGAACCACTGAGACTATGGCCCCTAGCTGCCCTTCAGGTCTGAAATTGAACCCACTCCTGTGGGTTCCAGCCAAACAAAAGGCAGGCATATGAGCTGAACATTTACATTGGGTAGATATACTCCTTGGAGAGAACAAACATTGGAAAATAGAAGGGCTGTGCATGCACAGGGAGACAGCTTGTGGGGGCAGGAGTACATGAGAGGGAAGGACACACAGAAGACGTGGCTATGGGTTGGAAGTGGGAGGAGAGCAGTTCATTATGGGAGATTACAGTCAATGTCATGAGACAGTGTATGTGAACTGCTGTATGGAAGATGAATTTGCTCTGTACACTTTCACCCAAATCACAATAAAATTAAAGAATGAAAAAAAAATGCATTGTAAACATGAATTTGATACTAACTAGGGGTACTTAGAGTGAGTACACATTGGGAGGACCTAAAAAATTACATTGCCATGTTTTTTAAGTCACAAAGATCAGTAAATACCTTGAAAATCAACATTTGAACGTTTATTTTTCAGATGTTTCTGCTTAAAGAGAGGAGATGGTTACCTCTATGTATCACTGTGTACCACTATAGTATTTTCCCCATGTCTTGGAGGAAAATATTGTAGATTACATACAAATAAAGAAACATACTTTGTCTAAAGAGATTAGGGTTAAATTCTAAGTAGTGTTCCCACACTGACTTGGTACTTAAGGCTTTCACATTGTTTAAATGCTAGTGTAGGTAGCACTTTATATGATTATATGAAGATGATGGAAATGAACACAGTGAATATATCTTCCTAATATTGGAAAATAATTATATAAGCCTGGAAATTAGTAAAATATTAAAGTAGAATTTTGAGTTAATCCAAATTTAAATGCCCTTAGAAATGATCAGAAGTTATTTCTTTTTACTGTAGGAGTTTTAACCAAATAATATTTCTCATTTTCCCACTGAGAATCATTAATGAATTCCTTCCTTGTGAGATTACAAGATAATTTGATTACTGCTTGAAGCAGTGGGCCTCCAAATCTAGAACCACAACATCTTTCCCTTTCTCTCACTAGCCCTCTCTTTCCTTTCTTCTCTTTCTCTCTCTCTATGTGTGGGAGTGCGTGGCACAGTTACACAGACCTCATATGTATACATACATACATACATACATACATACACACACATAAATCAGTTTAGGATATTATAAGGGAAAATGTGAGAGGTTTTTTTTTTTTCATTTTTATTCTTGCTTTTCTTTGTCCCTTCTCAATCTTTCTTATTCCCTAAATTTTCAGGGTGGTTTCCCTGAGGATGGTTCAAAGGAAAGGAATTTTGTATCCTGGGAAAGGTAAGAAATGAAATCAAAAGATAATTTTCCAAATGGCACGGCCAATCCTTGGAAGGAAAATGGGCAATCTGCTTCTGTCAAGATTTATAGCCTTGGAAACCCAGTGGAGGTCTTTGTGAGTTGTAACCAACGTGATAGCCGTGGGTTTGCTTCTTGGTTTTTATTGACACGTTTTAGTTTTTGGAACAGAATTAAAGTTCTTTGCATATTATATCACCAATATCCTGTCATTTGTAAATTGAAAACAGATAATAAATTTGAGCATGTGTGAAAATTTTTTCAATAAAGTATCATTGCCATATTGGAAAAGTAAGGTCCAAATAAATATTTATTGGCTTAATTATTATTTACAATAGATGATTCTGTTGTGTAAGATATAATTCAACCAAGAAAAACTATCCAGTTGTCAAATGCAGCTTCCCAATAAGTAAATTTACCTCTAAACCTTTATATAAAATAAAATAGGATCAGTTATCAGTGGAATACAAATGAATAAAACTTGATGACTATTCCTGTTTTATTTTTAAACTTTTTTTTAAGTGAGAAATTTTCTCATTTTGAAGAACAAAATGTTTGGTAAGTATTTCTTAAGTTAAAGATAATTTCCATTGATTTTAATGCCTGTCTTTCCTTTTTCTGTTTTTCTTGCTAGCCAAACTCAATCTCAAGTGCAGGTGCAAGATGAAGAAATTACAGAGGATGACCTCCGCCTTATTCATGAGAGAGAGTCTTCTATTAAGCAACTTGAAGTAAGCCTTATGCTTTTAGAGTTGAGCTGATGCTCTATTCGTAGAGAGTTTTTCCTTAAGGTGCTTAAAAATGCTGAAAAAGAATCCAGAAAGGAATTAAATAAATACATCAATGTGGTGGTATTTCTACTACATAACTTAGAATAATTTTGTTTTGGGAAGTATTTGTACTTGAGTGATAGCACATGTTCCCTACCCCCTAGTTGTTTGTTTGTTTGTTTGTTAAGTCATCTAAAAGTAACTGTAGAATTGAGAAAATATCAGTCTAGAGATAAATGACTCTCCAGAGAGACTGAATGGCATCCGTATCCTACGTGGATGAGTAAGACTTTTTACAAGAGATTTAAAATGATATTCTTTCTCTTTAGTGTGTTTATGACATCAAAGAAATCTAAAGGTTTATTGAATCTTACTTAGTTCCTGTGGAACCTACCTATTTCCTAAAAAGTAGACCAATAAGAGCTAACAATAGCAACAGCTTGTTAGAGCTTTCCATATATTGGGTACTAGGCAATACATTGTTTGTTAATTACCTCACTTGTTACTTACAAAAACTTAACTGTGTCACCTTCACCATTTTACACATAGGGAGACTAAGATACACAGAAGGTTATATAAATTACCCCACTGCCCTTAATAAAACATTTCAGCGTTACTCTTTAATCAGGCAAAATATTAGCTACCATATGTTGATGTAAAATAAATTGATAACTTCTTTATCCATCTTTCCACTGCATCTTCAAATTTATAAATGTGAAACTTTAAATTTATACCTTATATTATATTATTTTAAAATGTCAAATTGATGTGTGAATTATTACTAGAATTAATGCATTATTGTGAGTAGATACTGTATAAAATAGAAGACCAGGTTGCATAAAATAAAGGCAATAACCCATGGCCCTGTCTCTATCATAGATCCTGTTTCCTTACCTGATATTTTTAATATCACGGATTTATATTAGAGAACTGATGCTATTCAGGATCTTTATTAGGATTGCTTATAGAAAACTCTTTTTCTATATTCCCAAAATTTAAGTAGCAAATGTAGATGCATGCTAGCCTGTGTGAGTGTTGGTTTAGGGTTTTGTCATTTTCCACTGTGTTGGAGGAGCTAGATTTCTGATTATAACACTATGTTCCTTTTTTCTTTTTAGGCTGATATTATGGATATCAATGAAATATTTAAAGATTTGGGAATGATGATTCATGAACAAGGAGATGTGATAGGTAAGTTCTACTAATTTAATTTTCTGAATTGAGAACAAGCTACATGCAGTTTACCTGTGACAGCTTTCATGGGCAAGACCAACTGCTTCCTCTCTCCTTTTGGTTCCCTTCCTGGAATCAACAGAGCTTGACTTGACATCTAAAATAGATCTCGTTTTTCACTCTTAGTGGTTGAAAGAAACAGCTTCTTCTATTTTAGAAGCACCACATTTAATCAGACTCTCCTGCTGCTGCAGCCATTGAAGGGTCCTTCCAGCTGATTCCCAGTGTTCATGGTTTCTGTCATATCCCAAATGATTACCATCACTTTCCCAAGGACTTTTGGGAAATGTGTAGTATTTGTAATTGTGCCTGCTGTCTTGTCTTTGTGATTAGAGGAAATAGGTAGCTATTTACCTAATCATTCTAACAGCTTATTGGTAGATTAATTTAGTAGTATTACTCAGAAACTAGGAATTCTTTAATTTGTTTTTTGTTTTAAAAATAAAGCAATGACTAAAATTCCCTTTAAATTTTAAATGTAATGTTTTTTCAATTATAAGCATTGATCAAGATCCTAACAATTTTCAACATTTTGAAACATGAAGATAATGTGTGGGGATATTTAATAATTATAAGATGCATTTAATATATTTTCTGAGATTGGTTCAATTGAAATACTTGCACCTTTGTTGTTGTTGTTATGTGCCATCGAGTCGGCCCTGACTCATAGCGACCCCTCCTTGGGTTGCCGAGGTAGTATCACTACAGAAGTGGATTGCCCAGTCTTCCTTCTGAGGAGTGGCCGGTGGGTTTGAACCACCAGCCTTCTGGTTAGCAGTCAAGTGCCTTAGGCACTATGCTACCAGAGGTCCTACTTGCACCTTTAGTTTAATAGAAGTATTATCTATCTGTTTTAATCCCCTATCTAGCCCCAGTACACACTGGGTGAAATTTTAGAAACCTTTATTCATTCATTCATTCAACAAATCTATATCAAGCACTAATCTAGACTGGAAATCATCTTGGTCCAGGGAGTAAGTTTAGTCTGGGGTTTAAATGGGAGTCATCATAAGGAGCCCTGGTGGCATAATGGCTTGGCTCTTAACCAGAAGGTTGGCAGTTCATACCCACCCAGCAGCTCCACAGAAAAATGAGCTGTCAATCTGTTCCTACAAAGATTACAGTCAAGTAAACCTGATGGGGCAGTTCCACTCTGTCCCATAAGGTTGCTGTCAGTCATAGTCATCTCAAGGGCACCTAACAATGACATCTCCACATAGATAGTATTTAAAGCCACACAAAAATGGCACACAGGCAATGGAGTCTGACCTCCTCTAACTTCATGAAGGGGAGAGAGAACCACCATTAGCATCAACAACCCAAAGTTGATTCCTGTGAGATGTCAGACATGCTACCACCCTCCAACCTTTTTCCTAACTCTGACACCAACAGCCCCTCCCACAGCACTCTCTACTTCTCTGCTGGTTTTAATAATCCATTACAATGGCCACATAGAACTCACAGACAGTACTCACCATTATGAGGTTTATTAGAAAAGTTACAGGTTATAGTTTAGGTTCAGGAATGCAAAGGATGCAATTCTTCAGTCAGGACAGTCTCCCCTCAACCATGCTCATAGGTTGGCCTTTCTTTGGCCCTTGGATTCTCAGCCTGGCCTCTGCTCTGCTTGAGCAAGTATACAAAGCTCTTCTAGCTCTGCCAGTAGGTGCCCAGAGAGGTACCTCACTCTGCCAGCAAGCCTCTGCCTAAAGGCATTCAACTCTCTTGCTCTGTGGGCCATGAAGCCCACTGCTCTGTCTCAGGCTGGTCTCTGCTGCCAGGGTCTGCTACTGGCTTTCATTGTCTCAGCAAAGTGTTTCAGCTATCTCTCTGTCTCCTGGCTTGAGGAGATTCAGTGCAGGGATCTTGGGTCCAAAGGACACACTCCATTTCTGGCTTTTCTTTCTTGATGGTAGTAAAATCACACTATCCACCTCTGGGATGGCCCATTTTAAGCCTAGAGGGTGGCAAACCTCACCAGTCCTCACATTAGGTTCTAAATACCTTGTTTGAATAGTCCCACCTCTACAAAGAGGAGCTCTGGTAGCATAGTGCCTAAGGTACTTGACTGCTAACCAGAAGGCTGGTGGTTCAAACCCACCAGCTACTCCTTGGAAGGAAGGCTGGGCAATCTACTTCCATGGAGATACCACCTCAGAAACCCAAGGAGGGGTCACTATGAGTCGGGGCTGACTTGACGGCCCATAACAACAACCCCTACAAGGATGCCAAGGACTTTCTTTATATTATTATCAAGTTATCCAGTCCCCTTGGTGGGCCACCAGCACCTCACATTTACATAGTCCCACTCAGTCATCTGGTGGAAGTCACAAAAACACATAACAACAACAACAGAAAAGCCATAGTAAGTAATTCACTGCACCACAAGCCATAAGACTGGAAGAGGTCACCTAGGATGTAAGCGTAGACAGAGAAAAGATGGGTTCTGAGGATGTAACCCTGTGTCCAACAAACACGTAGAGTCAGTAGACTATCCATTCTTGTATGTGTTGTCTGTAGCTGCTGTTGCATGGTGCAAGAAGAGTTGTGTGGTTGTAATGGAGAGCACGTGGCCTGCAAAGCTTAACATATTTGCTATCTGGCCCTTTAGAGAAAGAAAAAGTTCATTGACCCTTGATTTAGAGCCCAGAGAGCTGAAGCACCAGGAAAAAAAGACTATGAAAGAATGGTCAATGATGTAGAGGAAAGGCAAGTGAATCGTAGTGTCCTGGAAACGAAGTGAAGAAAATGCTTCAAAGTCTTGCTTGAGCCACCTGTGAAATGGTATAGGGAAGACATAGAGTTCAAAAAGAAAAAAAAAATCAACTTTTTCATATACTACTAATATTAACCTTTGAATATCGGGCAGATTTAGTCTGACCTTGAATGAAATACAGTGATTTATTCAGTTCTGTTACTGGGACATTAATCTGTGTCTAACAGATAGCTCTGTGTGTGTGTTTTGTTCTAAAGATAGCATAGAAGCCAATGTAGAAAATGCAGAGGTACATGTTCAGCAAGCAAACCAGCAGCTGTCCAGGGCGGCAGAGTATCAGGTAATGCTAACTGTCATCAGTGTTCTTAATTTCGTGTGTGTGTGTGTGTGTGTGCGTGTGTTAATTTTTGTTATTGTTGCTAAAATAGAATCACATTTAAGTGGTTGGAGATATTAAATAACATTTTTAAATCCCAGGGAAGAGAAGTCAGAATATGCCAGTCAGTTGAGAACTGGTTTTAGCCTGTATATTCGTAGGTTTGAACCAGCATTATGGCCCTCAGAGAGATGCAGTTTAGTGTTCAGTCTCAGGGAAGCAGTAGCGGACTGTAGGTTTTGCTAATGGTTGGTAATCACTGATGTTATTGTGGCTTTCCAACCAGAAATCTCTTTGAAAGCCTTCTCCCTGTATTTCTTTTACTCTCACTTTCTTTCTGTCAGTTGCGTCTTAAGAGACAAGATCTTTACCCAATCTCTTCAGGTCCCACTGAGATTATTTTAGCTTGCGATGTCACTGACTGTGAGATATTCTGTCAGCATTCACCAGGCCCTTCCCTAGGAATGAATTTATTTCGTAAGTGAATCAAGTTAATACAAGAAATCCGTATGTATCTGTCAAATATAAATTATGTATAAAGCATTATACAAATATTAGGATCATGAATTATTAATATATAAAACAATATGTAGACCTTTTATGTTCAACAAGGATAAAGCTCTCTGGGAATCCTTAAATACCACCATAGCATTGAATTCCCATTTAAAAGTCTGTTTTTTGATTATTCATTGTTTAGGTTTTCTAGTGCCACTCTAACAGAAATACCACAAATGGGTGGTTTGAACAAACAGGGATTTATTCTCTTACAGGTTAGGAGGGTAGAAGTCCGAGTTCAAAGTGCCAGCTCTAGGGGCTAGGTGAAAGCCCCTTGACCTTGGGCTTCGGTTGTTCCTCTTGCTCCCAGCCCATTGAAGCTAGAGACGTCTCTTAGCTCAGGTAGCTGCTGGCTGCTGAGACTGAGAAACCCAAGGTCAGCAAGTAAAATGGCTGTCCCAAGATTATCAAGCAGTACCACAGGCCACTAATTCAAGTCCATTAACAGCCCCAAGATTGCCAGACAACATGGCAGGCCACTGAGATGAAGACTTGGTTACATGCAGGGTCCAAGTATGCCAAAAAGCTCAGAGACCTTTCTCAATGCTTCTCATTATATGCTGGAAGCAAGCTGCATCCCTAGGGCAGCTACTCAGCTGCTCCAGTAGATCCCACCATGGAGTTGATTACCAGTCTCATCACGGACAATAACTACATCCAGCTGCCCAGCCACTCAACCAGGCCCAGCCAACTTAACACAAAACTTAACTACCACATTCATAAATAACATTTTCTCAAACCTTGTTACCTTCTTAAAAATATCTGTGATACAGTCACCTTATTAGATATTTCCCATTGCTTTTTGCTTTTCTCACTAACCTTACAAATTACCTTTCATTGTAGTGCCGTTCTTTTTCATTATACATGTGTATATGTGGGATGTGTGGAAACAATAAAGCTATTTAGAGATTGCTGAGTTCCAATAAGGCCAGGTTACTAATTAACTCCTTTTTGCCAGCTTTGTGCATATTATTCAGATAGACAGCTCAGTGGGATTAATAACACTATGCCGTGGACTTTAAGTGTTACTCATGAATAACTGAAAACACACACACACACAAGTGGTAAATCATTGACAAAGGGGCAGGGAGGGTGCATCTTCTGACCTTCTTTAATCCCACAAGAGGAAGACAGAATCACTATCAGTAGCCCAAGGGCTATCCCTGTGAGGCCAGACATGCTGCCTCCCTCCAGCCCTTTTAGCAACCCCAATACCAGCTGTTCCTCCTGCAGCACCCACCAGCTCTCTGCTGGGTTTGATAATTTGCTGCAGTGGCCACACAAAACTTACAGATTATGGGGTTTAATAGGGAAGCCACAGGCTACAATTCAAGCTCAGGAACATACTCAGTCTCTCTCAGCCTGCCGTTTCTCAGCCGACAGTCTCTTAGTCTCTCTCCCAATAGTGTTTGTCTCTTGGTGTTTCTCTCCCAGCAGTGCATGTCTCTCACATCTCCCAGCTGGCAATGAGAGAGATTTCTTCTGCCTCTAGGAGGGCTCCCTTTGAGCCTGGCAGAGTGACCAAACTAACCAATCCCAACATCAGGATTCTCTACACCTGGGAGAGTGGACTTCCCAGAAGATTGCTTCGTGCCACTCCCAAAAGAAATACCACAGATATACAACATTAACAATCAAGAGCTACTCAGTTGCTCATGGCAAATTCCAACACGGAGTTTACAAAGACTTATGGCTAGAAAAGCCACACTATGGAATTTGCTACACTGCAGTTGTAAATGCCAAAACTCATGGATTTATTGGCAAAAAAATTTGTTCAAACTTAAGTGTTCAACAGGATTTATTAGTGACTAGACTTATGTATTGTTTTGTTTTAGTTGTGGATTTTTGGAGAATGTAGATGTGCCCCCAGGTTTTACTTTTCCTCTCTATTCCTTGTGGAAGAACAAGCCAACATCCACACTGGGGAAAAAGAACACATCTTCCTAAGCTCCCCTAGGTCTGGGTCCCCCTTCCCATGCTTAATTCACACAGGCCCTGAAGGGATGAGGAGAGGGACATACAGCCCATATGCTGAAAAAGGGGCAACTTTCTAACAGTTCTACTTGGAAACCTTCATAGTAACCTTATGAAATCTGTAAAATGTGGCATATATAAATTACTGGGATGAATTCTGAGCATAAAAGAAGGTGCTGAATGCTTCTTTTATCACTATAACACTCAAAGACACCACCCCACGCTAAGGAGAGAACCCTAGACAACAAATATACCATAGAGGAATACCTGAGACTACTCGTAAAGTTACAGCACCTAAGTATCTGTGGTGACCAAGCAGAGGCTAGGAAAATATTTATGCATGACGATAATAAAACTTTTGAGGAATTTAATTTAATACGTCAGGATTATTGAGTTGAAAATTAGATGAACATGGGAAATCCTGAAAGAAGTTGTGGTTTTCAGGGTCATTTCAGATTTAGACACATATCTTTTTTATAAATTGTATGGTCATGGTAGTTGACAAAAAGTAAATTTACCAATTTTTCTACTTTGTAAGAAAAATGATTCCTGTATGTTGCTGTGAGCGACACAAGCCATTAAAGAAATGGAAATCTACAGCTGCTCCGGGACTGAAGATTGAAGCAACATTCTTAACCTTTATCTTTTAAATGACAACATTATAATTTTTTAGCTCTTTATTTTATGTTAAGATTTTGAATTGAGTTTCCATTAATATTAAACAATGGGAATGATTTTAGAATTTCATAAATTTATTTTAGGGATAATTTCCACATGCTGGTATTTTTAGGAACTCAATTTTTAAGAGTAACTTTTTGAGAATATTAAATTAAAAACTATATAAGCTTTTAAGCTGTTCTTTATTTTCATGGAAAGGTAACCTCGGACTATTTGTTTAAGACAATAGCTTTTATTTCTGTGTCTTCTTTTTTGAACTCAAGCATATCTCTATAAAAATTACCATCAAAATTTGAAAAATTTAAAAATCAAGATAGATTTACACACAAAAAGAAAAATTATTTTATGGTTACCACAGGGAGGTAGAGGGAGGAAGGGAGAAGTGCTAACTAAATAGTAAACCAAAACCAAACCCACTGCCATGGAGTTGATTCCAACTCACAGTGGAACTGCCCCATAGGGTTTCCAAGGTTGTAAATCTTGGCAGAAGCAGACTGCCTCATCTTTCTTCTGCAGAGCAGCTGATGGAGGTCTGAACCACTGACCTTTCAGTTAACAAGCCTAATGCTTTAACCACTGTGCCATCAGACATCCTTAACTAGATAGTCAAAACCAAAACCAAACTCACTGCCATCGAGTTGGATCGAATCATAGCAACCCCTCTTCAGGTTTCTGAGGTGGTATCACTATGGAAGTAAATTGCCTAATCTTCCTTGTGAGGAATGGCTGGTGGGTTTGAACCACCAGCCTTCTGATTAGCAGTCACATGCCTTAGGCACTACAACCCCAGAGCTCCTGAGATCCTTAATAGGGCATACCCATTGCTGTTGAGTTGGATCTGACTCATAGTGACTCTTCCTTGGGTTTCCGAGGTAGTATAACTACGGAAGTAGATTGCCCAACTTTCCTTCCAGGGAGTGGCTGGTGGGTTTGAACTGCCAACCTTCTGGTTAGCAGTCAAATCCCTTAGGCATATGAACTCAAAAAAAAAAAAAAAAAGCCACTATCGCCAAGTCATTTGACTCATAGTGACCCATCCTTGGGTTTCCAAGGTGGTATCTCTATGGAAGCAGATTGCCCAATCTTTCTTCAGAAATAGGGCAGTTAGAGGGCCCAATTATAGAAACTACTTAGACATCAGGACTGCAGGCTAAGGACCACAGCTTCATAAAGATAATGTTCTGCCTAGTCTGATGAGTAACGTCTGGGGTCTTAAAAGCTTGCGAGTGGCCATTGAAGAAGCAACTATTGGTCTTTTCCACCTGGAGTGTAGAAGAATAAACATGACAACTCAAGTTAGTTCAAAGGACTAATGGCCCACATGAACCATAGCTTTCACTAAATCTGAGGCCAGAAGAGCTGGATGGTACCCAGCTTCCACTACTGACCACTCCGACCAAGATTGCAATAGAAGGTCTTGATGAGAATGGGTTAAAAAAAATATATAGGACAAAATTTAAAAAAAAAAAAAAAAACCACCAGATTTATTGATCAGAAAGAGACCAGAAGAACCACAGAGACTACTGCCCTGAGAAAACCTTCTAACTTGAAGACACTCCTGAGGCTACCTTCCAGCCAAATAACAGATGGGACGATAAAGCAATGGTAATAATGTACTCCTCAGAACAATCAACTATAGGAGACGAAAAGGGCAACATTTGCCCAAAACCAAAGATGAAAACACAGGGAGACTGCATGAATGGAAACAGGGAAGCCAAGGAGGAAATAGGGAGAGTGCTGACATGTTGTGGGTATAGCAACCAGTGTCAGGGAACAACTTGTGTATGGATTATTGATTGGGAAAGCTAGTTTGCAATATAAACTTGCACCTAAAGCACAATAAAATGTTAACAAAAGCCAATAGCTGTGTTACTATTCATGAATAGCAATCATTTAGAAAATAAATAACTCATTGTCTTCTAGAAGTAAATTAAAACACATAACATAAAAAAGTTGGGAACTACTCCCTCAGTTATTCAAGAAGAATATGTTTTAAAATAGTAGTGTCTTACATTTTGAAGAGATTTTTGAAAGGCAAAAAATACAACCAGAATTTTGAGAAGAATACATGCTATTGATTTTACTCTAGGAATGAACCAAATCCTTTTCAGTTGCTATAGAGATGCTCCATTAAATCTGTAAAAAATGTTTTTGTTTTTGTGTTTGCATCTGCAGCGCAAATCCAGAAAAACCCTGTGCATCATCATTTTTATCGTTGTCATTGGAGTTGTGATTATTGGTCTCATCATATTCGGAGTGAAAGGCTAACATTATAAACCACGCACCATTGCACTACATTGTCTAAGTCAAGTCGGAAGAGCCCTGTAATCGTGTTTTTTAATTTTTGTAAAGATTCCCCTACTTTGTTATTTTTATTTGGGGGGAAGTTTCCTTTGGACTAAATCTGATATTTTCTAATACTGAAAGGTTTTCTAAATACCACTGCTGGCATAACTTCCATGCTTTTCAGTCTAATATCTGTTAGGTTTTTGCCCACATTGTATATGCTTTTCCTTTATAATTTATTTATCCTGTCGACTGAGTTTTGAGAATTAGTCGACTCGAGGTGTTTGTGCTCTATAATGCATTTCTCTGTCACTGTGAAAACATGTCCCAGATTTGTGTTACTTCGGTTAAAATCTCAAATCTGATCTCGATTTGGGCCAGCAGAGAAAATATTCTCAGTAACTTAAAAAAGTTATGTATCTTTTTTTTTTTTTTTTTTTTACTTCTTCCTCATTCACAATAGGACAAATGACATATTTAACTTTTATTGTTGGTTTTCTCTTAACATCTTTGTTTACTCTGAATGAAATCAGTGAATAATTACTTCAAATGTCTCATACTCCTGATGTGTATATATTAAGCATTTGTTACAGCTTGCCTAGTAAAATACTGGATTGTTTTTCTATAGGCTTGTTTTAAGTCTGACATTTACTGGGGTTCATGTAGTCACTATGATTGTTTATTTTAATTTGGAAGAAGAATATGGAAAATCACTACTTAATTGTTTGGATTCTAAAGATCCCAACTATTTCTTGCCTAAAACTCTTAAATACTGTATGGCTTTGTGGTCATTATTTACTTTCCTTTATGTTCTGTGGAATAATGATTATGTATGTATCCTTGGGTCAGAATTACTTTTGGGAAGTAACTTTCCTATGATTATTGTTTTTGAGCCCCTAACACATAAACTTTAGTGTTTAACTTGCGTGCCATTTTGTACCCTCCTTCATTAGAAAAGTAATGTTTTGCCAATTAACTCACTTGCCTTTTTTAATCACTGTTGTTTTAAGGCACTAATCTGAATTCTGTAAAGAGGATTATCTTTGTTTGTAATTTGTATTTTATAATGTTCTTGTATAGCAGTTTGATAGTGAAAGCGATGTTTAACATGGCAAGCTATGAAACTTCACATGGGAACATACCATGTTAAGTACTTAAGGGAATTGTATCTTTGCAACCAAAATAAAGATGATGTAAAAGGTTTCTGGGTAGGTCTACTTTATGAGGACTCTGCTTCTGTGGGACTGATGCTCGCTGCACACTTTTGTTGCTGAAATCTCAACACAGGAGATGCCACCACACAGCAGCCATTTGACATCTTCTTGGAGCTCCAGTTGACTCAAAATTCTGTGTTTCTGTGATTTTAGGAGGTTTTATCACTAACAGGTAGAAACTGTTTTGTAGAAATGTCAGCAGAAACTGTTTTTTCCATAAATGTAAGACTGTGAGTGATTGGAAACTTTGATCTGGTAACTTAACAACCTTACCAGAGAATCAGGTTGCTTCAGTGAACAGGGCAGGCGATACAGGGGGAGAATTCATACAAATATTCCCTGAGGTTGATGCAAGCCCATGAGCACAGGCCTGCCTCATACATGCTTTGCAAGTTCACTGCTTCATGGTATAAACCAGTGTCTTATAAATGTATAAGAATGCTAATGGCTTCTGCATATCAGTTCCATTTTTTTGCCACAGTTGTCCTTGATAAAGTCTTTATTCACATGCAGGCAAGTGCATAAACTTCCATTAACTTCACAAGGAGTTCCCAATAGCAGCCAAAGTACTTAAAAAAAAAAAA